AGCCGGTTCGCGGCCCCATGCGTCCTGATCACTCGGTAACGCGCCGCCCGCCTTTCCTGCAGACACCGGAGCCGCCGTTCTCCCGCCGAGCCCACCGGCTGTGGGGGCAGCATGCCCGCGCGCACCGCCTGAGGACGCCCCTTTCCCCTCGCCATGGGCGCCCCGGCCTGCGCCCTCGCGTTCTGCGTGGCCCTGGCTATCGTGGCCGGCAGCGCCGCAGGCTCCCCAGACACGGAGCTGCGCGTTGCGCGGAGAGCCGCAGGTAAGGAGCGCACAGGGACACGGGGGACCCTCAGGCAGGGGCATCGGGGCGGGCGAGGTGGCCAGGCTCTCTCTCTGAGCCTCTGGCATCGCGGGGCAGAGTCCGGGCTCCGCCTCCCCTCTCCGGGGACTGTGACTAGAAGCAGAGCTGAGGTTGGTGGGGGTCGGAAACGCAGAGCTACCACCCAGAGGTGCAGGAGTAGCGGGGCCCAGGGATCCTGGCCCTTGCCTCCCGCGGTTCCCCCGCCGAGTCACCGCCTGTCCTGGGCGCCATCGGGAGGAGCGGGAGCTCCATTGTTGCCCGCGGTCTTTGCGCGATGGAAAGTTCCCCATTGTTGGCGCTCCTGGTCCCTCAGTCCCCCGCCGGGGCCCTGTTCGGCCGAAGCGGGAAGCGGGCGGGTAGAGTGTGAGCGCGTATGAGCCGCGGCACTGCCCGGCCGCTCCGTTAGCTGGTGTCCTTCAGTGTCACCGCGGCCCCGCCGGCACTCTCTTGCTCTCGCAGAGCCGGGGCGCGCGGACGTGAAGACTCAGGGCGGTGGAGACGGTGCCGCGAGCTGGGGCTGGGGGTCGGGCCGGTGGGGACGGCCGGGGGCTCCGCGGACGACGCATGGTGGCCGGGCCGAGGGGCAGGAGGCGTCCTGCAGAGCCCCGCCCGCACACGCGCCGGCCCCTGCTGTGCGCCCCAGGTGCCACCCGCCCTCATACGGGCGCTGCCAAGCTGGACGGCCGGCGGGGACTGGCCCGCGACGCCCAAGACTGTCACCTCCGAGGGCGCGGGCCACGCGCGCCGAGCCTGGTCCTCGCCGGCGGGGGTGCCTGGGCCTCGCTGGCTGGCGGCGCGCAGGGAGGCCCTGGCGGTGCGCTCGCCCCACCCGGGCTGGGCTCGAACAGGCGCTTCTTTGTGCGCGGTGCGACCACAGACCGCGCATTGACGGCGGCGCGGCTCGCGGGGAGGTGTGAGCCGAGTGGCCGCGGGCGCGCCGTGCCAGGGAGGCGGCGGCGGCAGGAAGCAGGCAGATGGCGGCCCGCCCCTCCGCGCGCCCCCCGCGCCCCTTTCTCCCGCGGCGGCTGCAGCCTCCCGGAACAATGTCATTTTTTTATGAATGAAAGTGGGCTCGGCGCTTGAATGTGCGTGTCATTCAGTAGCGTGACAGAGGCCGTCCGGAGGTCAGCGCGCGCTTTTAGCTCCTGCTCGCCGGGCCCCGGCTTCCAGGAGCGCCGAATAGGCTGCCGCGGGGGGAGCCCCGTATTTGCATCCGCATTCAGATGAAGATATTACTGCCTACGGCTGGGGAATGTCAAGTAGCCGCGCGAAGGGGCCGCGGGGCGGGGCGCAGACCCTCGCTGGGACCCCCTGTGGCGGTGGGGGTAGGGCAGCGGCCGCCCTCCGGTCCCCACGGCCGAGGGCAGCGCCTTTGGGGCGCGACCTGGTGCGCAGCCTGTCAAAGCGCCAACAGATGAGGCTTGGCCGGGGCGCCCCCGACCTCCCTCTGCCGCAGTGTTGGGGCCCGCGCCCCCGCGTTAGAGCTGGAGAAACAGGTAGCGAGTTGATGGGTCAATAAACTTAATCCGGTTTCTTAACGAGATGGGTCGGGTAGTAAAATACAAAGACCTCGTGAAGTTTACAGAGGCCGGCCTGGCACTTTCTCCAGGAACGTAAATCTCGGAGCCAGACCTGTTGGGGTCAAGGGCGCAGGGAACGGTGGTGGGTGGCCGGTGGGCAGGACGACCCGGTCACGCCAGGCCTGGCCAGCGCGTTCATGTGGACACTGAGCACTGAGCCCTGGGGGTGAGGGCGTGGGTCCCTGGTCCCTGCCTCATCTCCAGTCCCAGGTTGATGAGGGTGTGTCCTCTGCGTTTGATCCTTAAGCTCCAGTCACTTCTGGGGGTGCATGGCATGTCCAGAGAAGGCACTCCCTGCGCGCTCCCCACCCCCTCCCTCGGCAGGGACAGCTGCTGCTGGACTTTGAGCCTGAGGCCGCCTGGTGGTTCATTAACCTGGGTGGAGCCCAGGTTTCAGTGGGCTCCCTGCCCACCTCTCTGCACAAGACCTGCCTTGCCCAGCTAGGGAGCTTGTCCTGGGGTCTCCTTGGGGAGGTGGGGCCAGAATGGGCCCAGGTACCGATTGGAGGAGTGGTCCCCTTCCAGCTCACAGGCTGATGGCCTCAGTGATTTACGTTTAGAGGAGCCTGCTGGCCAGTCTGAAAGGCAGGGAGCGGCTGCCTACTGACCACTCTCTTGGGGTGCCCTTTTGCAGGCCGGGTACCTTGGTTTCCTCACCTGGCTTGCAGGGAGATAATTGAGGGGTTGTTTGCAGGATTAGCCTAGCTAATCCTGGTAAAGCCTCATAAGCCCGCCCAGCCGCCCAGCCTCCGGATACCCCTCTGCCGGCCATTGTTATGAAACCTCGGCATTCCAGGCTGGGGTCAGAGTCCCACACCCCGCCTGGCCCGAACATCCCCAGTGGTGTGCACAGGGCCTCCCTGGTTGAACCTCACCCGAGTTGTTTCTCCCAGGCCGGTCCACACTGCCTTCCCAGTGGGCTGGATTTTAATTCGTTTCAGGCACGGCACTGCTCAGTTAGGTGAATTTAGAGCTTGCTTTCTGGCTCACCTTTGAGGCTCTTTAATGAAAGGGTCCCTTGTTGCAGCTGATTAGATTAGCTCACTGTGTTTCTTACCAGAAGGTTTGTAGTTCTAGTCGAACCAGGAGGAAAGGTGGGGATGGACTTGGGAAAAGCCAGTCATTGAACAAAACGGGCACACAGGGCTGCTGGGACACATGTGCTGTTGGCAAGGCGGCAGCGTGGTGCGGCTTTCTTTCCTGTTTTGGACTGTACCCCCTGAGGTCACCCCCCCACCTTGGGGGCACACAGATGATGTATTCTGGAGCCAGGGCAAGAGCTGGCTCGAAGTAGAGTGGCACTAGCCGCAGCCTGGTGGGCATCAACCCCAGGCCACGGAGTGTGGGCTGTCAGGGCTGCTCTGCTCTTTGTACCCCACTTTCACCTGCTTTGATCCCCTTCTTTGATGGTGAAACTTGTCTTAGCTCCCACATGCAATTTTATTGCCCTAGAGTCAGTGGGGTGGCAGGAAGACTGACTGGGTGCCTTGTTGTCCCTCTCTGAAGCTGGGTGCGCCCCCTCCAAGACCCTTCACCCCTTGTGGGGCTGGTGCTAGCAAGCTGAATTCTGCACCAGGGCTCAGCCACAGGCCTTACGCCCCCCCCCCCCATGTTTGTGGGCAGCAACACTATTCAGGGTGAGAACGTTGAGGACACTCCTAGATAGAGCCAGATCCTGCCCACGTGGCACCCGGTCCCCACACCGTCCGTCCTGCTCTCAGCTCTCCCCACTCCGAGTCCCCCAAGTTCCCGTGTGTCTCCAGAGCTGGAGCAGAGCAAGTCACGAAGGATGCCACGGAAGCAGAGACGACATTCTGCGCCTGGTGCATCTCCCTGCCAGGGTCCCTGGTCTCTGTGGTGGGCAGCAAGCACCATGGGCCGGCCCTCTGGTGAGTGGTGGGTGTTTCTGACCACTTAGCAGACCCTCCTTGCTTCTGGCCCTTTGGTGGCCTTGCCTGACTGGCCCAGGGGACCACTCAGTGCCTTGAAGGCCAGGCCCGGCTTTTCCGCTGGACCAGGTTGAAGCGAATACTTGTGCAGACAGCTTGACCCACCATCACCACCCAGACCAAAACGGAACTAGCTGCCTGTTGCGTTTGGGCTGAGGCCTGAAGCTGAAGCTCACTCTGGGCTTTCTGGGGGACCTCCGGCAGTGCTTGGTGCTGGGTGGTCCCCACTGGACAGAGCAGCCAGGGCTAGGGGGCTGGTCAGCAGGCCAGAGGCCTCGGCCACTCTGTCAGTGCAGCGGTGGCCTCAGCTGTGTCCCCCTGGGATGTGGGCTTCCACAGAAGCTGCTGGCCTGAGTGTGGGCGCGTCTGGCTGGAGGGGTCCTGACAGGCAGTGGGATGTGGGGCTGGCCGAGGCCTGACGGTTGAATCCAGCCTGTTAGGGAGCCAGAGACTGGTGGCTAGAGTGGGCAGCTGAATCCTCGAATCTAGGCCACGCGTCGGCAGAATGACAAGTAATGAGGGCAAGTGGCCCAGCTGGGTCTGGGCCGCCGGCAGGACCACCCACCCGTGTCCTGGGCCCTGAGCCCAGGCCGCCTGTCTGCCCTGGTCATTGTCTGCCCCTGGCAAGAAAGCCTTGGGATGGCTAGCCCCCTCTCCTCAGTGGAGGCCCTCCTCACTCACTTGGTGATCTTGGGTGGTTCTTTGTCCCCAGGCTCAAGTGTTCTCATCTGTGAGATGGGTCACCAGGTTGAGGAGACCCAAGTCTGCCTGCTGGTTGGCTCTGGAGCATCTAGGGACCCAACCTACAGACCCATTTACTTGGGTTTCTTGGTCTCTGACTGTGTGGTTTCTTTGCACTATGCTGCCCCAGTTCCCCATGCAGCTGGGGTGTTCTGTCAATACCTCCCACCCTAGTAGCCCTACCTACCCTAGTCAGGGTACAGGGTACACAGCTGAACCTCCTACACCCTTCCCTATGTGCTTCCTGGACAACAGACCCCTGCCCCAGTGCTAGATGTAGCAGTGTTGGAGGGCAGGTAACCTTGTTGCTGATTCAAAGCTGAGCTTGAAGGCTACAAACAATACTACCAGGAGCGGCTTGCTTCTCTCTCCACTGATTGGCTGCCAGTTTGAGGTTTTGTTGGTGAGAAATGAGAGCCTTTTTCTGGCGGTAAATCTCCCTTCCCGAGAGACAGACTGATCTCCACCCTGTCGCCCCTACCTCCGCAGACATGTGTAAAGCCAGGGTCTGCAAATTACGCCCGGAGCCCACTCTCTAAGCTGGTGAGCCAAGAACAGTTTTTAAATGTTGGAGAGTGAAAAAAAAAGGCAAAAGAATAGTGCTTTATTGCATGTGAACACTACATAAGAGCCCGTAAATGAAGCTTTACTGGAACGCGGCCATGCCCGTCTGTTTACGTGTTGTCTGGGGCTGGCCTGGGAGCTCCTGGGTGGTGAGAGCAGTGAACACACTTGGCTGTTAACTGGAAAGTTCCTAGTTTGAGTCTGTCCTGAGGTGCAGTAGAAGAAAAGCCTGGCAAGCTGCTGCTAAAAAAAAAAAAAGCAAACAACTCCAAAAGACAACCATTAAGAATGTTCTGGAAATAAATAAGCAGTTGTCTTTTCTCTATTGGTGCAAAAGAGAAAAGGAAACCAGAAACTCAAAGAAACTGCTCTGCAAAACCAGCTGACCCCAGGAGCGTCAGATGTATCTGTCATGAGACCAGAGGCCCTAGACGGTGCCTGGTGAGTGCACGGTGGCCAATGAGGTGCAGTGGATGGGTCCTGAGAGAGGGAGCCAGGAATGTGGAACAAAATCGAATTCCTTACGGAGAAAACCAGATTTTCTGGACCCGCTGGGACCAGAGGACTTGGGGAGATTATCAAATGGAGATAATCTTTGTCCCTTTCACTTGAAACCAGCCTCTGAGCCACCGTTTAGAGACAGACTGAACAGAAGATCTTGTCCCTCTGTGAGTAGAGTTCTGTTAAAGACGGTCACTGAGACCAGGCGATGAATAGCTTACAATAAAGGGGCAGGGAAACTCGATGCACAGAAACAGGACCACCAGAGAGGACGTGGAACGTTTGCACGTCAGGCACTCAACCAGGATCACTGAATAGAGTGTTAAGCTTTATTGAAAACCTTGACCAAGAACACAAATATCAGGGAAGACAGAATGGAAAAAATAAGGAAAGCTCTCCCCATAAAAAAAGGAAAGCCCATGACACAGCGGCCCCTGACGTGCCAGCCACCATCCGTCAGAACTGACTCTTGTGCCAACAGCAGTCTGAGCACTGACAGCCCCAGAGCACAGCTGGATGCCCTGGCTGGCTGGACCCCCGCCTGCGCCGCCCTCTGTTAATGTTGGGGAACCCCTGGACTCTCACTGTCCTCACTCACCGTCTCCTCTGCAGAGGTCCCGGGGCCTGAGCACACCCAGCAAGATCAGCTGATCTTCGGCAGTGGGGACACCATGGAGCTGACCTGTCACTCACCCATGGGTAGCTCCCCGGGGCCCACGGTCTGGGTGAAGGATGGCTCAGGGCTGGAGCCCTCAGACCGAGTCCTCCTGGGACCACAGGGCCTGCAGGTCCTCAATGTCTCCCACGAGGACGCAGGGGTATACAGCTGCCGCCAGCGACTCACCCAGCGCGTCCTGTGCCGCTTCAGCGTGCGGGTGACCGGTGAGCGCTGGCCAGGTCAGGGTGGGGTGGGCGGGATGTTGGGCTGGCTGAGGGCAGGTACAGGAGGGGAGTGGGGAGCTGAGGGGTGGCCCCTCCCTGACATCCCCCTTGCATTGGCCAGAGACTGAGCCCTTGGCGGGGTGGAAAGACTTCAAAGCTGAGATCTGGGGCGCATAGGGCACAGGTGTGAGGCAGCTGCCCGTCGTAGAACCACTGGCCACGTGTTCCTAAACCCACCTTCTACCCAACAGATGCCCCGTCCTCGGGAGATGATGAAGATTCTGAGGAGGCAGAGGACACAGGTGAGGCCAGGTGTACCAGCTCTGCGCTGGGCTGCAGGGGGCAGGGCTGGGATGGCCTCCTCACCTGCCTAACCCCACCCTCTCTGACCATGGGCCATCCAGGCTTATCCCGGATGAAAGTGTGGCACTCCAGGTCAGGCGTGGGCACACCGAGAGACCGAGGCCCAGGGCAGTGAGGCTGGGTGCTGTGAAGATGCCGACTTGGGGTGGGGAGACAGTGTGGGCTGACCAGAAACTGGTGGTTCCAGAGGGCCAGCAAGTCATTGGCCGTTATGGAGTGACGAAGGGGTGCAGGCAGCGGAGAGGGGACTGAGATGTTCCAGCCAAGCAAGGCCAGTGGCCTGGGGTCACAGACCCCAGGTAGAACGTCTTGTGAAGGTGGCACGGTCAGTGATCCCGACGGAGTGGGCATGAGAGCAGGTGGGGACGGTGGCCTGGTGGGGGTGGGGAAGCAGTAGAAGGGACCTTGGAAGTCGGGTGCTGGGGCCTCCAGGAGGCCCTGTTAGAACTTGGGGTACGAGGCCTGAGGTCTAGTGGGCGTGAAAAACTGATTAGGAAGACGGCAGTGCAGGACATGGGAACTGGGGGGACGCCAGGAGCTCTGAGGGGGCCACTGGAGGTGCGCAGCCAGGCATGAGCTTCCACCAGGACCAGGGTGGGGAGGAGCCTGTGTCCCTGAGGAACTGGGGCTTTTCTTGTTACCCTTTTCTCTTTGGCTGCCAGGAAGTTCAGAGCCAGATTTCCTGCTCGTGTCCACAACCGTCCCCTTCCCAACCACACTCCATGCTTTCCCGAGTCTATGCCTGCCTGGCCAGAGTTCTGTTTGCCCTGCGCCCATCCTGCTCGTATGGGGCGGTGGGGTCTCTTGGCGTTTCTGCCCTATGTGGGCTCAGGAATTCAGAGGGTCCTGGCAGGGTCACTTTCCAGATCTGCCTATCTGACAGGGACGTTTCGGAGTCGCTGATCTTGCCCTCCTGTGCACAGTACTGGTTCCCGGGCACCCTAATGCTGGGGTCCCTTCCCACTCTAGCCTGGGAAGCCTGGGAGGGCAGCTCAAAACTAGAAAATCCCTTCCCAGATCCCACAGCCTCCATTGCTGGGGCCTGGGGCCTCTGTTGGTGGATGGTCTCCTGGGGAGGCCCTCCTTCCTGCCTAAGTAAGCCGCCCTGATGTCTGCCCTTCTAGGGGCCGCCCTCCCTCCCCACGAGTCCCGGCATGAAGGCGCTCCCTCCCAGCCCAAAGGAGAAAAACCTGTTAGCCCGTGGCGGGGATGGGGGTAGCACAGAGTCCCTGAACGTTGGAGTGAAAGGCAGGGGGCAGCCCTGCTGTGAGCTGCTGACATGGGAGAGGGCTGAGGGTCCCAGCAGAAATCCAAGGCTTGGCGCCCAGCCGGCCTCTCTGATGTGCTGAGCCTGGCCTGGCCTCTTGGTGAACTGCCCTCGGGCCTGTCCTAGCTCGTCCACCTGGCTGGGCTGCGTGACCTGGGCTGGCCCAGTTTCTCGCTTGTCCTCAGTTGGGTCTTGAGGCCAGTACACTATACATAGGGGTCTAGGCTGAGGTGAGCCCGTGGGCTTGCTTGGGGACAACAGTACCCAGGTCTCTTCTTGTCCAGTAAGAGACAGGGAAGTGACCACACAGCCCCAGAGGCCACTTGGAGACTGAATGGGCAGGGTGTTGCCATGGGAACCTTGTCAGCCCCCCCCCCCCAAGGGTCTCCCGTTTGGATAGAAACAGGCCCACGGAGTGGGCAGCTTTTGCAAGGCTTTGAGGAAATGGCTTTCTTGCCCCCTCCACGTGTAGGGGCTCCCTACTGGACTCGGCCTGAGCGAATGGACAAGAAGCTCCTGGCTGTGCCAGCGGCCAACACCGTCCGCTTCCGCTGCCCGGCAGGCGGCAACCCCACCCCCTCCATCTCGTGGCTCAAGAATGGCAAGGAGTTCCGAGGCGAGCACCGCATAGGGGGCATCAAGGTGAGCTGCGTGGTGGGCACGTGGCCTGCGTCCACCAGGGGCCTGGGTGGGGCTGCTGCAGCTCATACCACCCACGTGTTCCCCAAAGCTGCGACACCAGCAGTGGAGCCTGGTCATGGAGAGCGTTGTACCCTCTGATCGCGGCAACTACACGTGCGTCGTGGAGAACAAGTTCGGCAGCATCCAGCAGACATACACGCTGGACGTGCTGGGTGAGGCTGGGCTCAGAGGCAGTCCGCGGGGGGCGTGGTCGGGGCGGGGCATCACCACGGGGGTGTATCCTACATCACGGGGCGCGGCACCACCACGGGGACGTGCCCTTCCATGTGGCGTGGTCAGAAGGCGGGGACCCGTCACGGGCGTGTCCTTCACGTAGGAGGCGTGGTGAGGAGGCGTGGACTCACCACGGGGGTGTGTTCTCCATCGCGGGGGCGTGGTCAAGGCGTGGACGCGTCGCAGGGGCGTGTCCTTCCACACAGGGGGCGTGGTCATGAAGCGGGGACTCGTCACGGGGGCGGATCCTCCATTGCGGGGGCGTGGTCATGAGGCGGGGACTCGTCACAGGGGGCGTGTCCTTCACGCAAGGGGCGTGGTTAGCACGGCAGTGGGCAAGGCCTGCCTGTCCCTGAAACCTGTGTGTCCCCCACAGAGCGGTCCCCACATCGGCCTATCCTGCAGGCGGGGCTGCCAGCCAACCAGACCGCGGTGCTGGGCAGCGATGTGGAGTTCCACTGCAAGGTCTACAGCGACGCGCAGCCCCACATCCAGTGGCTCAAGCACGTGGAGGTCAACGGTAGCAAAGTGGGCCCCGACGGCACACCCTACGTCACCGTGCTCAAGGTGGGGACCCGCTAGCACAGTGGGGTGAACGTGAGGGAGCAGGCCTGCGTGCCGAGGGTGCTGTTCGGGGAGTCTGGGCTTGAAGCCCAGCAGACTGGACCCTGTGCTGGGGCCTCACGCTCCCTCTGTCTTCTGTGCCAAAGCTTGGGGACACGCTGAGTCCACCTCCCTGGCTTCCCACTGGGCTCAGCTCGGGCTGGCGGCCTAGTGATGATCACCCAGCCTCGAGGGTGGCCGAGCCTTCCCACCTCTCTCTACAGCAGCGTCCTGGCTGAGAGGACACTGGGCTAAGGGGATGGTGTGTATGTGTGGGGCCACTGACAAATGTGGCCCTCAGGGTATATATGCCTTCTGAGCTGGCATGGGCACCCACCCTCTTCTTGCCCCCCTTCGGCTAGAACAGCATCAGCTTTGTTCTCACGGCCACATGGGGTGGGTGCCGCCAAGCGGGACTGTTACGACACTCAAACCCCAAAGAGAAACATCTGTTGGAGACAAAACGGGTAGTGGGGGTGGGAGAGGCCGCTGTGGGGCCAGGAGGCAGGCAGGGGCGGGGAGAAGGACATTGTCAGCAGGGATGCCTCGTGTGTGGACATGTGTGGACACATGTGCCCTGGGCGGCCTTTATAGCACTGTGGGAGGCCTAGCCGACACCCCAGTGCTGGGCTCGTCCAGGGTGGACTGAGAGTCGCTTCCTTTCATATAACTGACCTCTTTGGGGGAAGAAGGCCAGGCTTTGGGTTGTGGGGCACAGAAGCAGATAAAGCTCTTCTGTTGGGGTTTCCTTTTTGGGAAGATTTACAGCCTCAAGTCCAGGTGACATTTGGGATGGGCTAAAATCAACAGTAGTGGGTTTTTGGTCTTTTTTAATCAGTCCCAGTTACTGTGTATTGTGTAGTCAGAACCAATGGCACTGACCCTCCTGCAGGTGTGTGGGGGCAGTGAATGGTGCAGGAGATGGTCATCATGGAGCAGCTGGTGGATTGGGGTTGGTGGTGCAGTCAGTTTCATTCTACCAAGTCTCCAGAGCTTCCCACAACAGCGAGTCCTGGTGGTGCAGTGGATTAGGCTAACCCAGAAGACACGTGGTTAGTTAGACTCCACATGCTCTGTGGAAAGGGTGGGTTAGCCAGCTTTCGTGAGGGCCTGGCCTTGGTGGTGGTGGTGGGGGAGCAGTTGGACTATGTCCTACAGTGTTGCTTGCTCTGAGTCAGAATCCATGGCACTGGGTTTAGTACCTTTTATGAGGCCAAAATGTGCTTGCATGCCTCTTCCAGGCAGCCTTCCAGGCTTCCACTGCCACTCTTCCAGGGTCTCTCAGCTCCTGCCTCCTTAGGAGCGCATGGAAAGTCTCTGTGCACCCTGGGCGAGGTGAGCTCGGGCCAGAGCCAGACTCCAGCCCCTCAGTGCTCATAGCCGCTGACCCGCCCAGGTCAGTGCAGGCAGCCGCGGGTCCACCTGAGCCGCGTCTCTTGTCCCCCCCGCAGTCCTGGATCAGTGAAAATGTGGAGGCAGACGCGCGCCTCCGCCTGGCCAATGTTTCCGAGCGGGATGGGGGCGAGTACCTCTGTCGAGCCACCAATTTCATAGGCGTGGCTGAGAAGGCCTTTTGGCTGCGTGTTCACGGGCCCCCAGCAGGTAACGACTCTGTCCCACGCCTGCCTGGCACGCACGCCGAGCTCGGCTCCGATGCCCCAGCCATGCGCCTGCCCGCACGCTCACCTGCCCGCCTGCATGCCCGCTCGTCCCGCTCGCCCCCTGCCTGAGCCTCTTCGCCTCCTGAATGCTCAATCCTCTGCCTCCGGGGTGCCTGCACCCCCTTGGATCCACGGGGGCCCGCACTGGCCCAGCTCACCCCACGCACCCCCTGGAGCCCGTGCGCCAACGGAGGCCACGCCCGGCAGTTTGCAGCGTCTGCACAGTCTGCCGCCGCCTCTCCCCCTTCTCACCCGCCACCAGCTCTGCTGCTCGCTCACTTCTTGCCTGTCTGTCTGTTAGTCCTTCTGTCTGTCCTCCCACCTGCTGCGCGCCCCAGACACTGCGCTCCCCCTAACCCCGCATGCCGCACCTGTGCGGGCGCACTGCTGGCCGCACGCCTGCCGCTCCCTTGGGACAGAGGACTCGCCGGTGGAGGGCCTTGGCTTCGGCTCGGCGGCGCCCGGAGGCGCGGCCGTGGTGGTGGCGGCGGCGGCGGCGTTTTCCTTGCAGCCTGGCCGGATCGTCGCGTGGAGAGCTGCGGAGCCTCGCTGGGGTGCTGGCGCTCGCCTATCGCGTCTCTTCTCTCTTGTAGACCGCGGGCGTTAACACCACGGACAAGGAGCTAGAGGTTCTGTCCTTGCGCAATGTCACCTTTGAGGACGCGGGGGAGTACACGTGTCTGGCGGGCAATTCTATCGGGTTTTCCCATCACTCTGCGTGGCTGGTGGTGCTGCCAGGTACTGGCTCCTGCTCGCTCTGCTCGGTCCTCTGGTCGCGGGGACGCACGGAGGAGCGTGCCACCGCCACCAGGCACAGCGGCCCCCTCCCAACACTCCAGCCTGGGCCTGCAGCCAGCTGCAAACCCTGCTCCTTCGTGGAGCCCCCCACTGCCCCATTTGGGCCCAGAAGCCCTGTGCCGGTGGCTTTGGCATCTCCCTGGTGTCTGGATGGCGGTGTGGGCACTGCTGGTTCTGCTGGGTCCCTTCTCTGGGTCTGTCTGCTCCCTGCTATAGGCGCTTCCTATCCTAGCACTCTGTGCTGAGTGAAGGGTTGGGGCTTCGGTCCCCCACCCGGGCTCTGTGAGGGGGGCTGAGTCCCCTTCTCCACCCCGCTGGTGCGGGAGGCGCTGGCCGCCACATGGACAGCCAGCGGCAGGCCAGTCCCAACGCCCGTGTCTTTGCAGCTGAGGAGGAGCTGGTGGAGGCGGACGAGGCGGGCAGCGTGTACGCGGGCGTCCTCAGCTACGGGGTGGGCTTCTTCCTCTTCATCCTGATAGTGGTGGCTGTCACGCTGTGCCGCCTGCATAGCCCGACCAAGAAAGGGCTGGGCTCGCCGCCTGTGCACAAGGTGTCCCGCTTTCCGCTCAAGCGACAGGTAACAGAAAGTAGATACCAGGTTCGGAGCCGGCCCAGGGCCTGCCACCCACCCCTCCCTGTGCCCCTAAGTCCCTGTAGCCGAGATCACCCTGTCCGGTTCCCCATGTCCGGGGCAGGGCGGGGGCTGCCCCAGCACTAGCGTGTGCCCTCCCCTGGCACCATGTAGAACTCTGCTTTTTGAGCACAAAAAAATAATCCATACCCTGCTACGCAGCGGCGGGGCATGCCCTTTCTTCTCCAGAGCCCCACCCCCTGCCCTCCTCCTGTGTGCTCCCCCATGGCACCAACCTGGCCCTGCCCACCCAAGCAGGTGTCCTTGGAGTCCAACTCGTCCATGAACTCCAACACGCCCTTGGTACGCATCGCCAGGCTGTCCTCGGGGGAGGGCCCAGCACTGGCCAACGTCTCCGAGCTTGAGCTGCCTGCAGACCCCAAGTGGGAGCTGTCCCGGGCTCGGTGAGTGCCAGTGTCCCTGAGGGTTGCACAGGGCCTCTGTGCGGGGGTGGTGGGCATGCTCAAGGTTGCAGGTACTCAGTTTGGTCTGGATTGGGGTGGGGTCCTGCGGGAGTTGCTGGGTTGGCTAGGAGTCAGGGAACATGAAAATGTAGGTAGGTGGCTAGGACCCCATAGAGAAGGTCCATCTAGCTGGAGGTGTCCAAGGGAGGGGTGGGCTGTATCAGAACAGTGCTTCATCTCCGTGGGAGGATGTGTACGGAGGGCCTCTTGGAGGGGGTGGCAGTGCGCATGGAAGTTGGAGGGAGGGAGGAGCACAGATGCAGAGTGGCTAGAGGGCTCCTGTTCCCTCTCCCAGGCTGACCTTGGGCAAACCTCTGGGCGAGGGCTGCTTTGGCCAAGTGGTCATGGCGGAAGCTATCGGGATTGACAAGGAGCGGGCCGCCAAGCCAGTCACTGTGGCTGTGAAGATGCTGAAAGGTAAAGAGGAGAGGTGACAGGGAGGGGCCCCGGGTCTAGGCTGGGGGTGGGGTGGGGGGACATACCCTGACGGCCATCCTTCTGGGAGCAGATGACGCCACAGATAAGGACCTGTCAGACCTGGTGTCGGAGATGGAGATGATGAAGATGATCGGCAAACACAAGAACATCATCAACCTGCTGGGAGCCTGCACGCAGGGCGGTAGGTGAGGGGGGAGCCTGCACGCAGGGCAGTAGGTGAGGGGGGAGCCTGCACGCAGGGCGGTAGGTGAGGGGGGAGCCT